TTTCCTCGGTAGTCTGATCCAAGAATTTTTATTTTTCTTTGAAAACGCTTGAACCAAAATGTCAAACAAAAAGATGGATTTATTTTATGTTCAATCATTAAGAGTTTTATAAATACTATTTTCTCTGTACTATCTCTTTAACTTATAATCAGCATAAGATATTGAGAGTGGTAAAAATTCTACTGTACTACAAAGTATTTCAAAGTTTCTACAATAAAAGGCCGCATCATTAATTAACAAGTTTACATAATTTTAATAGTTCAGGCCATGAGTCAATTTATGCTGAATTACCATGGAAAACCTAGAATCACTGGATGGTCGTTTCGTCGTATTATGGGACTCTTCAACAGCGCACATCCACGATTTCGCCTTGCGAGATTCGAACCCAAGATCTATCGGTTTCGCACGCGAACGCTTAACCTCTAGACCACTAAGCTGGCAATTTACATGAATCAAAGATAATAGTTTACTAAATAAACAATATAACTACGTTAAAAATAAACTTTGAATTAAAAATTCATCATATTTCATAATTAATCAGTCAGTCAGTCAGTAACAACGTAGAACTTCGTACGTACATACATCAGTTCGAGTTGCCGTACCACATTAGCACAGAGATACAGTTGCCGATTCAAATCCTGTAGTGGTAGAGGTAGTAAAAGTATAAGCAGTAATCGGAAAGATTAGGGTTTGAAGATATTATTCATAATTAAGTAACAGATGATACCAAGACATTTAATCAAGATACTTTTCTAATAAATAAATAACTCTGAGAGTTCCATTCATAAAATGTATGTTGAATAAACTAAACTATCAGTAATTAACATTATGGTAATTATTATTTTATGTTAACTCCTATATTTTAGACCTCCATTCACTTCATCTGATCCAATGAAAATATACAATATTATACTGAAAGGAATTAATACAATTGAATTTCCCAAATCTATTACACGAAATGCACAGTGCCTTATTAAAAAGTTATGCAGGTAAAATGGTCTTTTAATTCTACTGTAGTTAATGTCTGTAATTATATATGTAATATAGAAGGAACGAATTGAGCGAAGAAATTTCTTTTCAATTAGTTTTTCATCATGGCTCTACACTAATATATATATGGTTTACAATAATGATATAATACTCATCGAGTGGATACGTTACGTAATAATTACATAAGGACATTTAAATTAACATTGAGTAGTTGGAAGAAAGAGGATTATTAATATTCAAAGTAATCAAGAAGTTGCTACGTTGTGTAATATGTGAAAAAGAGAGAAGGAACAGAATTTTTTAATGGATGGTTACGTAAGAATCAAGAGATGAATGTCATAAAGTTCAAAAGCAACAGAAACAAAATTAAAAAACAACAACAAGTGGATGAAGTATGAAAAATAGTTCTTTTGAAGGAAATCTTATACTGATGGCCAGGGCAGAGAAAGTGGTTGTACGAATCTCTTTTGAATGCAAAGGTGAGGTTTGTGAACATGGATTGCGATGGCTTCCGCCACGTGCAAGAGGCGCACTCGTATACCATGTGGCAAATTTGATGGGATATTGTAGATAACCTTAAAAGCTTTATTCAATTTGACTTGATGACCTATGTCAACCAAGTGAGAGAATAAAACTTTTAATCACTTTTACCTGCATTTTGCTTAACCACGATGGATAATGCTCCGTAATACGATGACGAACTTGCCTAATTGTACGCCCTATATAACTGGCTCCACAGGAGCAGTTGAACCGATAGATACACATGGATTTGGCGAATTCAGGCAGTCTGTCTTTATTGGTAATTCTTATTTTGGGGTGGCTGTAGAAGACAGCATTTAATCTGACTGCATTAAACGTTTTTTGTACAGCTCTTCTTAGTTTCTGAGTCACGATTTCTTCAGTGGTGTCATTTAGGAATTGTAATCTTATGAACAGTATTTTCTTAGGGACGGTAGGTACGTTGCCTTCGTTTTCACCTCCATCATGTGCTTGTCGATGAATTTCATAGGGTACCCATTCAAACTAAGTGAGTTCCGAATGTTAACCAGTTCATCATCAATGGTGTCTTCCGAGCAAATCATTCTGGCACGATGAGTCAAGATCTTTATCAAGTTCCTTTTGTATCTGATTGGAACTGCACTGTAGAAACGAGTGTATTGTCCTGTTGCAGATTTTCTGTGTATCTCTCTTTTTAAAGTTCCGTCATCTCTTCCAGTTAGTTGGACATCTAGAAATGATATGCTATTGTTCTGTTCATCTTCTGATGTAAAATCATGTTCTTTTTCTAATACTATGAAAGTATCATCTATATAGCGATAATAAGTTGGTAAATGATTAATTGTGCTTTTAAGTGGTCCATTTTCCAGTTGTGCGAGGAAAATATCCGCCAGTAGAGGGCCCAATGGTGATTTTAACACCGTTGGGTGCCGGCTCAGTGGTCTAGTTTGTTAAGCGCCTGGTGCGAGACCGATAGGTCCTGGGTTCGAATCCTGCGGCGTGCGGGGTCGTGGATGCGCAGTGCTGAGGAGCCCCACACTAGGATGAAACGGCCGTCCAGTGCTTCCAGGTTTTCCATAGTGGTCTAGCTTCAATCAATGAAATTTCTAAAATCTCCACAAAACCCCTTCTGATATTTTTTTCACTAATTGACAAATAATTCACAATTAGATGATATATTTTGTCAGATATTCAGTCACTTAGCTTGTATTTCTATACGATTAAGATTTCAGGATTTATCTCATGCGGGGGATTATTGAATAGGCCACTCTAGTCGTTCAAGAAATTTAGAAGACTAATTGAACTATTAAACTATTTGTGAAGAACCAGACTGTTTTGAAATATATCTTAGAAATATCGGAAAATTTAAACGAAGAGAAGGAAGGTGGAATACAGTAGTGTAGTAATTTCATATGTATATATATTCGTATTTCTTACATTTGACCTATTGACTATTGCAATACTATTTACAATTCTTAACTTATTTTCTATTTATTAGTTACAGTCCCTCACAATCACATCCACTTTTGGCTTGGTCGTGTGATGCGGTTTAATTTGCTTGTATATGTCTGAAATACATGATTCACATAGTGAAGGCTGAGATTGTGCCCTGAACTAAACGGGTAGTGCTAGGCGAGAACGATTAATAAGGATTCAGAGTAGACGCAAGGCTGCTAGTGCTAGTTGACGTGTCATTGGTTTAGCACAAGAATAAGGTCATATAAGTCGGTATTGTGATTGAAGGTTTGGTCAAATGATCATGGACAGAGCCAGTAGAACATAACTATATATATACTAGAAAACTAATTATTCAACTGTAAAAGATATCAGTTCATTTGTTCTTGTAGAGATGCTCCAGCCCAACGACTCGGTGCTCGAAAATCAGGAATAATAGAAGTGAGAAATCATGCATGGTTTGAAGGATTCGACTGGAATGGACTTATAGCTAGAACTATTCAGGTTCCTATTACACCAAAAGTAAGTTCATTTGCGTATGACAGATTTTGTTTGCATTTTATAAGTATCCACTCAGGAAAAATGCTTTATATGACACTTTAAATAATCAAGATGTCGATTCAGGATATCTTTTTGTTGATGTCGAAGAGTATCCCTAGATCTAGGTAAGGAAAATTCTACTGAAGCATTCAGAAATATTTTTACTTGAAAACAATCATAGATATGTCTTTGTTCAAATTTGAAATGACTTTATTATCATTGAGGAAGGACTTGCCTTGTGAGCTTTACATTATCAGTTGATGTCCTGACCTACAAATGATCAAGATATAATAATAATATATATATATATATATATATATATATAATATATATATATATATATATATATATATATATATAATTGTCAATCCTTCTACAATTCAAAATCATAAATTTCAAATACGAATACATCAAAGATTTAGTGAATGCGTCAGGTTTAGGCCAATGGATTAGAATTCCGTATTGCACAGCTCTAACTCCAGTTAACTGACTATGCAGCATCAATACCAAAAAATGTCCACAGTGATGACTGTCACAATTACTGTGAGGTTTTTAATGGTTCTGTGGCTGGTGTTACCCTCACAATGAACTATTCTTTACGGTTTATACATCTAATTTGCTAGTTTAGCATTAAAGACGGTTTATTCATATACTTTTATGATAAATAATGTTTTTTTATATAGCAGTATAATCACTATTTCGTTTTTTTGTACACCTACAGATTTCCTCACCGACAGATTTATCAAACTTTGACAGTTATTCAGAAGAAGAAGAATTGCCTCCAGAAGATACAACCGGTTGGGATAAAGATTTTTAAAAGGCATAGTGATAATAATAATAATTTTATATTAAACCCAAACTTTCTGCGACGACTGAACGATATGACCCAAAAAATATTCTGTATGATAAACAATGACGTTATTTTCTCAATCTTTTCACTGAGACACTTTTCAGCTTTATTGTTTCTGTTAAACTAGTATTGTAATAACTTCTCTGATGGAAATTCTTTCTTATTGTTTTTGCCTTTATTACCACGACACTATTTTTAGAGAAAAAAAGAAGAAAAATCATCCATTTCCTTTATTTTTGACTTTTATTTCATATCTAGTCAGCGACAGAGAAGAACGAAACTACGTATATTAATATTAATAAATGCATGAGTCTTTTTGTCTATATTTTCATATATATATATATATATATATATATATATAGACCACTGTTGAATACAACGGCAATCGTATTATTACTATCATGATTATTATCATTATTAAAATTGTCAACAATTGACAGGAGGAAATTACAGATGTGCCATGATAAAATGGAAGTTATTCATAATAGCAACCATTGATAATGAGAATAATAACTGAGGTTAGGAAGTTAGACCATTGGATTCCAACTTAGTGGTCTAAACATATTGTGACGTAAGATAACCATAAATATTCATAAATTAAAAAAGATCGAGATTATATAACATTGACGATGATATACAAAGACTGATGTATAATCAAATGACTTAATCATGGTACTTGACCGGAACAAGACCATAATTCCATTCCTTTAAGTGTTAACTAGAATTAGAAATTAAATTATAAACATAGAATTAATGATAGATAATATCTATAAACATAATACAATGTACATTACATATGACTTGACAAGACCATACAAAATTAAATTCTTCTTAAGCTTATACTAATGAAAAACAGATCTCTCAATTACAATATTACCACAGGTTTTCTCAAACAATAGGAAGAATCACACTTGACTCAGCTAATATATCTAAGGGCTGATTTTCAACGTTATTTTCTACTTCAATTTGTCAGACAGAAATAATCTTCAAATGTTTTTGCTTCGGAAAGTTATGATCGGTTTGTTTTAATGAATCCCTCCTTAAACCTACAACTCTGAACGAGTTTAACTGAAAAAAAACATCATTTAACTAAGAGGTCACCACTGGACTAGTGAAAGATCGTCGCATGAGTAACCTCCATAATACTATATTGTTGGGCTAGATACTTATAATGGTAGTGGTACACTTACAATCTTACACGTTAATAGCAAAGCTGACAGTTCAATGATTATCAGTTAGCAAAGTATATTTTGCGACTAAAGTGTAGAACTAGCAATTTTTGAATGTTCTGAGCAGTAGACCAGATACTGATCTACCAAGACAAAATACGAATTTCTGGAATCATTGTGACTTAAGATGATCAGAGGATTACGGGTTCATGAATAGGTTTGACAACAAACTGCAAACGACGATTTTCATTGTAGTTTTATTGGAAAAGTCTCGAAAGAATTGAACGACCCTCAGTCGCTAAAGACTATATTTGTGTGTCGAATTTAGGGACGATGTTTTAAAAGAGGTTATGACAGCCCTACTTACTAGGTTTTTGAGGAAAAAACTGAACTTCGATAACTGACCGGTTGGACTTTATCAGTATTATTTGACTGGCACGAATTAAGGGACAGACTGCCAGTCTGCATGCTAAAGTAAAACCGCTCTTGTTAGTAGGATGAATAGAGCCTATTCCAAGAGCGGTATTTGACTATCACGACGGAAGTTTAAACCGGTCATAAAGTCCAACCAGCCGTTTTTCCAAAACTATTCCGAAGTTAAATAACACTGTTAAATTGTAATGTTGAAACCTGTGCGAAACAAAGGACTTAGAAAATCTCCAGTTGGAGCTAGAGATTAAATGAAAAAAGTTAATTGTCCAGTCTCTAAATTTATCATGTTTCCAAGTTCTACTTTCTTTATTTTTATTTCATTCTCTACATTCATATTTCCCAAATGGCTATTCAACCTCACAGTTATTTATAAACAAATTTTGTCGCATTTCATAACCTACTGTTGACGCTTTTATAAACAAATAAATAATTTACTGGGAAATTTTCTGTGATCATTGGACGTTTTACACCTAACTCATGAACGATTTCCACAATGACCCAAAACTAATTTTTCTCAATGAATAATAATATCTGTCCAATAGTTTTGAGGGATGATGAATAATTGTGTCGTTAAAATTACTTCGTCCTGTTGAACAACCAGTAATTTCTCTTACAATTTATCTTGCACTGTCGAAAACGTTTTATATCTCGAGTTATGATGCTTTTAATAACATTATACTCACAAATCACCATTTGCAATTAATGTACAAGAAATACGGGCTTTGAAAATAAAATGTTCAAATGAAGCCAACGCCAATTAATTAATATGGGGATCGTACTATATACGTTTCATGAGAGTTTCTAATTCGCTTACTGTTTTGGAGCTAATTGCATAAATGACAAAAGAAACGGAGACTAGAATCCAAACTTTTTATTCGAAACAAATGAGCCTTAGGAATATTTTACAATATGACGGAGAATGATGCTGGAAAACTGAGCGACGTGGTCATTTATTTCAGGAGCTAGACAGTGAACTTGCTTACTGTGTATTAGTCACTTTTTGATTTCATAACCATTTTATATTAATATTGGATTTAATTTATTTTTAGCGAATTCAACTTGATGACTAACTATTTATTAAATATTGAGTAAACTTTGATCTTTACTACTGTTAGTGAAATGGTCACATTATCCAATGATTTAGCTGGATTGTCTCAATTTTCCTCAATAATACCTTCAAATTACTGGTAATTTGAATAAATTATCCGAGATTTAGATTCATACAATTTTATTCAGAATAAAAAGAAACAGGTATAATAAATCAACATTAAACGGAGTTTCTTATCGGATAAAATAAAGGACCAAAGTAAATCACAAAGCTCAATGAATTTACGAAAACTATATTTTTTAAAAATAAATGGGAATTAGTGATGGGTTCTAGGACAGAAGATAAACAATATGTTTAATTATTTCATACTGGTGGATCTATAACCATTCTGGAATTCAAATGAGAATGAACCCAATCAGGATGTGCGGCTTCAATATCTTCAACTATACGATTAACAGCTGTACATAAACTTTGAATATGCATACTCCAAGATGAAACACCAGGATCTCTGCCTGAAATATATAAAAGGAATAACGAAATGTACGCATGGCGTAATAAAAACATGAGTCCGACGATTTATAATTAACTTATTGTTAAATTGATAGATGTATATAAATGATAAGTTAAACTAATAAATCACCATTTTAGGCCTTTAGTTAATGAGGTAGAAATGTTTCGACTTCCAAGTTTCATTAGTGATGTTATATGTCCTGAATAATCTTATTTATTCGGTATATCTCAATGAAGCTTATTTCTTGAAGTTTTGTCATCAAAGGTCATTAAAGGATAATGAAACTGCATTGGACGAGAACAGAGGCTGAGACAACCAAATGTATTTGAATACCAAATTACGGAATCTCTTAGTAAAATCTGAGAACCATACAGTAAATACTTCATTTGCAAGATGTCCATCAATTGTCTCAGACTTTATCGTTCCTTCATTTCCATATTAATCACCTTCTGTTTTCGTTCTCTTAACTTCGATCCTCCCAACCTTCTGCTGCCAGGCATTCCACTTTTAATTGGTGATACATACTAATTATATCTGTCGACATCAGTAGTACTCACTACAATACTATTGTAATTTACAATGTAATAGGAGTTTGAGAGCTAAAATATACAGGTAGTTATGTTGATGGTACTTATTGTGATGGAACAGTGTTTTCCAATACTTTTTACTTACTTACGCCTGTTACTCCTCGTGGAGGAGCATAGGCCGCTCACCAGCATTCTCCAACTTTAAATCTTAAAAAAGATAATTCCGAGAAAATTTGAACACCCTATCTCTGACTTTTCATTTTCTGTGGTAAATTTCTCTATAAAAAAAGGGATGAAACATAACAACTGAAAAGCCCCACATGAACCGTTTTATATAAGTGGGTGTCCCTCGATCTTTAAAGTCGGATAACAACGGCAACTTTTATAGCATGATTTAATAAGGGAGTATTATATATGCATAGGCACACATGTGTGCAAATGTCTCATGATTATTAACAACGGTTATCGGTGCTATCATATACTACAGTTGATAATCTTAATAAATATGGACAATTATGAATCCCATTAGCGAATTCAGGAAATCATAGAATATATAGACAAGACAGAAGTTTTAGAAACATGATATAGAAACGACACATGTCATCATACACATAAACAAAGACACCTACTACAAGAGTTACATAGGAGGAGAACAATTATTATACGTCAACTAAAAATGAACTCAACATTTTGCAACCGTACATCGGAAATTTCAAGATTACCACTATAAAGTGTCATAGAAGGTGACATTTTAACACGTCGACTCAAAAGATCTGCTGAAAGGACATTTCAGGCCATCAAGTTACAGGTAATCTCAACCAAACCAGTACTTACACGACAAATCAAAGATAGGTTACCGATGATGGGCTGAATACAATTAAGTCAATTAAATTTCATTTCAAAAGGATAAAAATAAAACAGCCAACCAAAATTTGCAATTAAGCATAAAGTAGATATCTATTATATTCCATTGACCAAATAACTATAAACGTACTTTCAAAATGAATAACACCATCAATTTGATCAAGTTTACCAATTAATCTTCCTTCACTAATCATTTGAGAGGCGATAGATTCAGCCTAAAATTCGACAAATACGTGGTTTTTTAATAAAAAATAGAAACTACTTATTTTGCTTACATTACAACACTTTGATCTGTAAAACTAAATTATTAAAATAAGCTCAGTAAAAAAAAAACAATCGATTTGAAGAGTTTACTTGAACAAACTTCGAAAGTGAACAGTTTATATCGAGTTTGTTTATTATTCTACTGAACTAAATCCGATTCAATTCAGTTTTGTTTATGGATCAATTTCTTTCTAAACGTGATATGCTACATAATCGTCGATGAGACAAAATTTCAATTTCCTGGAATATAATAGAACTTAGATCATTTAGATCATTCTATTTAAACTGTCAAAAAAGGAATGCTTAGATTTCATGAACTACAGCAAGAGATAGTCACAAAAATACATTTAGAAGAAAATAATCTCATGTTCCTGAGACAAATATCAAGCTAACAGATAGGTTTATCTTTTTTTGCATTATGCATAAACATTGATAGGAAAATCTGTATTGGATTACCTTAATGCTTTATTGCCTTACATTCAAATACAGGAATTGTCCACAAGATATTTCACCTAACTGTCTATATGGAAAACTAATATATTAAAAAACACTGACAACTGAGTAGATACAAAATCATGGATATTATTATTATTATTACTATGTGGTAGTTTGAGACAAGAATTAATTAGATAAAACTTTAGCCACGAAAATAAATATTTAATACATTCCACAATTTAATCATGAGCTTAGAAATATCTATACTTTATAGATTAAACAAACATTTTAATACATCACCAGAGTGACACTATGCACAGAATTCAATTACACATCCACTAGTATTTGTCGTTAACTGAACCGTAACCTGTTATATTTATTTTAGAATAATTAATTTGGATAATTAAAATAACCCATAGTGTCATTGAATAAAAAAAAGGGAATTCAGTGAAGAAAATTTTCTTTTCGACTAAATCATTTACTTAAGCTGTACATTCGTATATATAGTTATATGGAAAATGTATGTCTATAGAAGGATAGAATGGATTGTATCAACAAGAATGGATTCGACAATAAATAACAAATGAGGTTAACGTACTAATCAAGGGGTAAGGAAATCATTATAAAGACAATTTTTATCGTAAAATTTACAAGAATACAAATAATGTTGGGGAAAAACTTAATTTGTATTTATTGATTAGTTTAGATATCCTTTGAAAAGTCTTTCCCTTGCATTTAAGATTGATATGTAGCAATATACAATACTGCGATTCGATCAACAGTAAAGTTTTCTCTTTCTTTATGACATACATTATAGACTTTGAAAGAGAAATTTAATTTATTGCAGTCACATAGTAATGGTGTTTTACACACGGTAAAGTAAGATGTTAGGTATCGAAAGTGTTTTCTTGAATACGAAGAGTACATTTAAGAAGGTTGGGAAGCCCCGATTTTATGCCTATCTTAAATATAAGATCTAAGATACCCAATGGTGTATGAACCTATTTCAATCAACAGTAACTCATCAGCATGAATCTTTTGATGTAGTACAATTGGGTCATGGATTAGATTTTCAGGTCACAGGTGTGGGATTGTATATTGAAAAAAATCAACTACTTCGAATGAAGAGTAGTACAACTGTCAAACAAATGAAAGACTATCTATACAAAAGATACGAATAATTTGTTCCAAAAATCTAATCACGTAAACACTCCTACATCGCTTTAGCCCTTAAAATCTGCAGGAACTATTTTTAAATAACAATAATAATACAGGAAATTATATTAAAAGCAATTTTGAATTACCAACCTCACTTGCAGATATTTCCAAAAGAAGACCTAAATTCTCCAAACTGATATTATTATAGATTAGACTGGCAGCTAACATGTTATGTTCAATTAAAGCTCGTTCAAGCAGTTTTTGTACAGAAGATGAAGTTATGGATGACAATTTCCCCGACTGATCTTGAATACTTGAAGTTATTTCCGAAAAATCTTGTAATGAAGACTGTAATAAATGAGGATAATATTTCTTAAGCAAAGGCTCCAAACTGGAAAGTGATGAACGATTGATTAAACGTCCCATAAACCTAAATATAATCCAATAAATGAACGAACAAATTATTTTAACAATGGACATTGTGGAACATTATCATACAATATAAATTTTACACAAGCACATATAGATTTGAGGTTGCGATTTTAACAGAAGTGAATCAATTTGATTTTGTTGACATATACACTTCGTGCACATAACAAGTATCCATGAACAACGTATAAGTATGTATCGACTCAAGTTTCTACACCACATTAAAGTCAGATGAAATTAATAAGATCTATAGAAAAGAAAAGGAAGTAATGATGTTTATCATGATGAAAATTGCTTAATAAAGAGAATAGGGTTCGAAAAAGAATGAACTGGTGTAATAAAAGTTACGAAATAATACTGCAACTTGAGTTAGATCACCAAGTGTCTGCAACCATAGATCACAACTCCAAAACAGGAAGTCTGAATCACTCCTAACGACCCCGACCCACAGTTAATGACTTAATGGATCGATGCAATATCTTTTTTGGACACCTCTGGCTTCCTTTCAACCCACTGTTATCCAATCCAGCACCGCACATCAAAGTAGGCAGTGAATAGATGTGTATAATACATATCCATCAACTGAATTACTATCTTTATGTAGTATCCTACGCCTAAACTCAGAAGTATTAACTTGGTCGTTTTACAATGAAGATGGGATACTTTAAAAACACCATATACTAGAAACCCACACATGTTTTACACTCTCAGAGGTGACGTTTCGAAATTATGAAGTAAAACAGCAGACTAGTGTACAATATACTTACCCTATGATAGACAACCTATCTATTACTTAAGTGAGCAAAAGAAAGGAATAAGCTTTTTGAATACATACCAAAAAGGAAATTGCATGATACTTAGCAACCACTAGGACATGTTTAACCCATTTGGAAATTGGTCGTCTACTGCACTTCAATGAAGTAGTATTCTTATAAAAAATTGAACCCGAAATTTATGTCTTCAAGAATGCATTATTACCAAGATATCAATTACTATTTTTAATCCAAAGAATATCAAACTAATATACTACAGAATGCTAGAAACACAAATCACTAAAAAGTGACTAGTACAGCTCGACAACTTAGTTCAAAATATTTCGTAGTATGAACGGATAACTGCTAGGTATGCACTTTGCTCTGAACATTAATCCACATTAGGAATAAGATACATATGACTATCGAATTCAAGCATAACGAAATACTGATCACAAATAAATACAACTGGGAATAGATCAATTCAGAGAGGATAAAAAAGCATTACACCACCCGTTCAGATAAAAGACTATCAGAAATTCACTTCATCATATTATAACAGGAAGTGTCAACACAAAATACGGACTCAGTTAATTACAAACTTCCTAACTGTTGTTTGAACTAGTGTATTATTTTGAAACATAAGTGTTCATTACTAAATCTGTAAACAGCTTTTTAAACGATATTATTTCTATAGTCAACATTATTGACTGTTGCATATATTGGAAACTTATGCAAACTATTTTAAAATGGGATCATTCTGCAAATAACTAAATGTAATAGTGAACGATTTATTGAGTTTCACTTCCGTCTAAGTGAGAACTAAAGACTTTTACAAACAACCTGGTTATAAATCAATTTCGTATTTATGGTAATTTCTTCAAACTGTGGAAAATCTTCAAACTAGAATGAAACGAATATCCCATATCCCTTGCGTTTAAGTGGTTCTCCACTTAATTTTAACCTGTTGTGGAAACTTTCCTTAAAAAAACCTACCAAGTGTTAAATTTTGGCAATGACTAGCCTATCACATTTGTCAGTGTTTCAACATCAGCTTTATTCTCTACTGCATCTTACCGGACAAATATTGAACGGCAAATAGATAGATAAAAGGGCAACAACACTAACTGTTTGCTTTCAGATTAAAAGCAATATTACTTCACAAGATGCACGTATATAGTCAATTCCCGAGTGACTTTGAAAGGACAATGTAGCATTAGAATATTATCCATACAATTAAAGAAATTTAAAGATCGATCGGGGGAGTACGACCATCAGATACAACAGAAAGACTACTTTCAATTTTAGCCCACTGCTTAGTAAAGTGACAGCTGTTATCTGTATACGTTAGTAAGGACCAAGTCAATTCTTGAATAGTAAAATACAAGATACCTTTTAGAAACGCCTAGTTTTCCAAACAACTAACCAAGATTTGCTAAGAATGAAGACTTTGGACTACTCGTCAAAAAACCAAAATTACCTTTAGGAATTTTTGATCCTCAAACAAACGAATTCTCTAAAAACCGACTGTAACTACTATTGATAGCACCGGTTAACGAACCTCCTCAGTGTTTATACGCCTTGGTTCACTTTCCAACTGTTAGTCGGGATAGGAGATAAATCATAGTGAACCTAATATACATTGCCAGTCACTATCAAATAAGTCATATGCTCCAATGGCATTGCTGTTTTTAGATGCACACAATGCAATGAAGTGGTTCACAAACGAAGCTATAGCAGCTTATGATAATATGCGTGCATTTTCCAGCCGAAAAATGTTTATATGATCTTAGAATGTACTTCGACCATAATGCTGTTTGAAGAGATTACGAGATCACTTAAATGGGCGAATAGGATGGAGGATAAGCAACACAACGACGAGACAAGCTAAACTACTCCAGTGCGTCCCAGTCCTGCTTATTATTTTTATTTGAACACATAAATATTGGTACAAGGGGGGCACCAAATACATATGCGCCACACATTTCACTTGATTTGTGTGGGGGCTGGGCTACTGCCCGGGTGCCCAAACCAAAGCAGGTAGTTTTCTTATGGGGTCACACCCGGAGCCTTCTACCTAAAGATCTGATCCACAAGGCAGTGGAGCATCGTAAGGAGATGCAGTCCCATGGTAGCCGGTGACTGACGATTGATTCATACGTCATTCGTTCCTTCAGGATACTGGAGCCCATGTGCACCATTGGTTTGGAATGAGGGTTTTCCAACTCACCTAGATTGACTCTCCGTGTCCACTAACCCGGTTAAATCGCCGGAAATTCGCTTTTCGCCCTCCATTCCGTAAACAACACCCCCACCACGAGAAGGCAGTGAGTAGGACTTCCCTGCCAGAGGCTATATACGCGTGGTCATGTGAGAGCATTTCGAGAGGGAGAGCGGACTCTCCCCACCCTCGGCTGTGCCAGAGCATATATGGGCTCCCCAGCCCTGCTAGCCAGAGAGAGAAGACCAGGTTCAAATGAGGGAAAGGTATATTACACAAGCAGTCTGAAGACCGGACAAACCAAGCACACAACTCAAACGTATATATACAATATAAAAAGGTCCTTGGGAAACATCACAAAATAGCGTAATAAAAGAGACAACGAACCAATAGCATGTAGGGTCCTTCCAAGTGGGGAATACAAGCTGAAGGTAAAACTGAACGATTTTGGCGCGAAAACGAGAAACTTAAATTCCTAAAATAAAATTACAAATACAAAACGTTTACCAAGTGATTTCTGGGGATCTAGTATCCCCGGCACACAACAAGCTTGAATTGTGAATAATAAAATAATCATTCTTTAACTAAAAAAACACATTATCCAAATAAAATTCGGTGTTTTTTAGTTTAAAAGTCTTTTAAATCAGCTAAACGAGGTGAAAAACTAATTGACTGTTAGTATGATCATCCCGTGTAAGTAACAAGGTCTGGTCAGTGTTTGATTGATAAGAAAAGTTTATAGACTTCATCAGATAGCGATATAAATTATTCTTTCCTACTTAATAATCGACATAACATTTAATGTGAACTTACATATTTTCTAAAATTGGGTAGGCATCGAAAGTTTGGCACCGTTCATCTTTATATAAAGTAGCTAATAATCTAGAACGTTGTTGACCAGCACTTGAAAGTAAGGCAGCTGCTAACGCACGTTCTATAAAGGCCAAACGCTCGGAATCATCAAGCCATGGAAATCTTATGGACAATTCAGCATAACGTTGACCAGCTTCGAGGAATTTTTGCTTTAAATCCAATAAATGTGCATAGGCTATCTAAGATAAATTTTAAATAACGATAAGGGAAATAAACGATCTAGTGGACAATGAAAAACATATTGAATATATTATAACATATAAACTGAATTCTTTAGCTTACTATTACATCAGTTGATTTTCTCTGTGTATCATATATATTTATAGTAAAAAGTTGAATCAATACATGACTACCAACCAATCAACTCCGCTTGTAGTTCTTATAGCGTTACTGTCGGTCCGAAGCCCACACAGAGGAGGATCGGGAGTGGGGACGGTAACCTCATCTTGGATAAAAAAAACCTTGCTACAAAACGCTAACCAGAATAAAAAATTCAAACCATTTAAACTCTGTCCTCCGAGTTGAAGAATCTTCTTTCAGAACAAAATCTTAGAAAAATCACCCGCAATCCTTTTCGTACCAAGAGATAAGCCATTAGAGCACGCTCTGAATTTTGCTCAGTGGGAGCTACCCTAGTTTGGAATGCGCTTTCAGTCAAACTGATCCCACCCTCCTCAGTGGATAACTTTAAGAGACTTGACAAACACGCATTCCCCCGTGGGTTGCCATACTGCTCTTCGGCAAGCTGTGTCCGATGTACGTCTCATAAATGACCACGATTGTCATTGCTACATAATCAGTAATTATCCCTATCTCTCATTTCCATTACCTCATTATTCCTTCAATCCCAATTTCTTACACATCATCGATTGTGCAAATTAATTATTTATCCTTGAAACAATCATCTCCTATCAGCGCTTCAACTATCACTTTATTCTTGAAACAGCAAGATGTTCGAGCAAAGAAACCAATTGGATTATACGAAGTTGTGACGACGACAATGAACACTTGAAATGATAACTGAAAAACATTTATTTAAAGCAGAATATGAAAAAACTTGCACGACGATTCGCACAGACACTTTGAGATTAAAACTTGAATTCTCCAGTGGAGACGAAAGTAATAGGATCTCCCACTTAGTCACCCAAAAGATGGTACGATGACATTTAGTCCTGCTATCAGGGAAGAAAATTATTGTGGATGTTACTCCTCGTTCAAGACGATGAAGACCAGATTTACGAGAGACAGCAATCGATTATAGTGAAGTGCTCAAGAAGGGACCTGACTATCCTGATAGGAGACCTAAACGCCAAAGTCGGAATGGACAGCGACAGTTATGAAGATGTCATGGGACAACATGGACTAGGAGAAAGGAACGAGAACGTGTATGTGTGCATTCGAAAAAATGGTTATAGGTGGCACAATATTCCCACACAAGCGCATACAAAAAGATACATGCGTCTCACCACGTCACACTACAGAGATGAGCATCAGAGCTGACAAGCAGAAATACGTGGAAGAGCTAGCAATGATAGCTCCAAGTTCTATTCAAGAAGATTTGAGAATAGGTGCCACAGATAGACTGGAAAGACACCTCATCAATATACCAAAGGAAGGAGATTTGAGCAAATGTGAAAAGTACACAGGCATCACACTGCTATCAGTACCAAGAAAATTTTTCAACAGAGTGTTACTGGACCGGATGAAAGATTCAGTAGACATCCAGCTTCGAGATCAACAGGCTGGATTCCGTAAAGATCGGTCGTGTACAGAACAAATCGCGACACTACGGACCATCGCTGAACAATCGGTTAAATGGAACTCGTCACTATACATCGACGTCCTTGACCATGAGAAAGCATTTGGCAGTGTGCATAGGTGAACCTTGCGGAACATACTTCGACACCATGCAGCGATTAACTGAGGAGATCGTCAACATCACCCGGAATTGATATGACGGACTACACTGCAAAGCCGTGCATGAAGGACAGATGACAGACGCATTCCAAGTAAGGGCCGGAGTAAAAGGCGAAAAATTTATCTGCAAATGCCCTGGTACGGTCGAGGGTGGGGAGAGTCCGTTCTCCCTCTCGAAATGCTCTCACATGACCACGCGTATATAGCCTCTGGCAGGGAAGTCCTACTCACTGCCTTCTCGTGGTGGGGGTGTTGTTTACGGAATGGAGGGCGAAAAGCGAATTTCCGGCGATTTAACCGGGTTAGTGGACACGGAGAGTCAATCTAGGTGAGTTGGAAAACCCTCATTCCAAACCAATGGTGCACATGGGCTCCAGTATCCTGAAGGAACGAATGACGTATGAATCAATCGTCAGTCACCGGCTACCATGGGACTGCATCTCCTTACGATGCTCCACTGCCTTGTGGATCAGATCTTTAGGTAGAAGGCTCCGGGTGTGACCCCATAAGAAAACTACCTGCTTTGGTTTGGGCACCCGGGCAGTAGCCCAGCCCCCACACAAATCAAGTGAAATGTGTGGCGCATATGTATTTGGTGCCCCCCTTGTACCAATATTTATGTGTTCAAATAAAAGCAAAAATAAAAGGACCGGAGTCAAACAAGGTTGCCTACTCTTCGTATTCTTCTTTTTTCTGGTGGTTGACTGGATTGTGAAGATCTCCAAATCGAACGGGAAGCACAGAATACAAACATTGTATCAGCAGCAGCCTCTGAAGTAGTAGACCTCAACATACACAAAAGAAAAAGCAACATCCTCAAATACAACACAGAGAACACAAACACAATCACAACTGATGGAGAAGCTCACAAAGATGTGGAAACCTACACGTACCTGGACAGCATCATCGATGAACAAGGAGGATCTGATGCAGACGTAAATGCGAGGATCGGCAAAGTAATTACAATATTCCTACAGTTGAACAACATATGCAACTCAAAACAACTGTCTATCAACCAACATCAAAGGGAGTATCTTCAATACGAACGTCAAGATAGTTAGTCCTACTGTACGAAGCTGAAACTTATAGAACTACCACAATCATCATCAAGAAGGTACAAGTATTTATAAACTATTGTCTACGTAAGATACTCAATGTCCGTTGACCGGATGCCATTAGTAACAGCCTACTGTGGGAGGGAACAAATCAGCTTCCAGATGAGGAGGAAATCTGGAAAAGACGTAGGAAGTGGATAGGATATACATTACGGAGACCACCAAACTGCATGACAAAGCAAGTGCTAAATTGGAAACCTGAATGGAAATGGAAAAGAGGATGACCAGAGAACACCGTACCGGCATTCGAAAGAAGACATGAAAAGGATGAATAGCAACTGGGAAGGATTATCCAGGACATAGTTGAATGGAGAATGCTGGTGGGCGGCCTATACTCCTTCACTAGGGACAGTAGTAGTAAGTTTACCAATCAACCACATCTTAAAGTTGTGAATTTCTGGAGAGGTCTAAGAGCTTAAATATATTCAACAGAATGTATGGTACATATTGAAAACGAAGTGGGAAGTAGAGATATCTTATTCGTAAGTTCATGTCAGACACTATTATGTTTGCGGTACGAAATGCTTATTCAGTGAAAAATTAAGTTTGAGAATGACGAAATCGAATAACCTGACAACTAATCTCTGACGATAAATTATATACAAAGATGTTTTATTTGAGAACTCAAAAAATCTTTAAAATTAAGACACGAGTTTGAGCCTTTCCAATATTATTTGACTATCCACAAATACTCTTTCAAACAAAACTTGATTATGTTATGATTGTAAGGATAGTCATAAAAATTTATTTCTAAACTCACCTTGTACCGAACCAAAAGTTGCTGATTCTGACATTCCGGTTGCAGCAAAGATGCCCGATTTACAAAAACTTCAGCTTCTTGAATTTCATGAATTTTCAAGAAATATTCGGCTATTCTCAAATAGATGTCCAATTTATAATTTACTCCATAGACTCTATTTAAAATGTCATTTCGAAAAACACAAATAGTAAGAATCGACAAATGTCATGGCATCGTTTATGAAGAAAAGATATACACCGAATGAAATGCTAACATACTGAAATATATTAACAATGTACTAGATGGAGACTTCAGTGTTTATTGAAAAAGCCATCAATTGATGTTTTTAAAATGTACAGCAGATCGTTAGGATGTTAACCAAATGAAGTACCTACGCACAAACTGCAAAATATATTTGATTTGTGGGATCAAACATTATATTATACATCGATGTTATATTGTCACTACATACTATTGCTTTAAATGTTTGACAATGAAGGAAATGAGTCGACTCTAGAATTGGTGGTTACCAATTATTTAAAAAAAAACTACGTTTTCTCTTCTAAGTATGCAAGTGAATTTACATAGAAGCTAAAGTGGATGCTTTGAGAAAAAAATCACCTAAAACAAATAGTTGACTTTCACAGAAAGAATTAAAGGCAGCTTGCTGAGAATACAGTAAACTAATTCCAACGCACATATGCTGAATGCATTTAATATTCTGCTGATAAACCAACACACAAAACTATAAGTTTGATACAAATATATTTGACAAGTTTAATGACTAAATATCTTCGCAAGGAATTTTTGAAAATAAAGAACACTAAGGCTGTTTTTTAAGTATATACAAATTTCAAAAAACCTTGTACATTGCAGTTAGTCGTTGTAAACCACCCGTTTTTCACAAATGGATCCAACAATTTAGTTTCTCAAACAGATCTTGTTTTGATGGGATTCGATTATGAAAATTTATAGATTAGTTACAATTTCAGATGAATAAACAGAAGTTAAAAAAGAATAACCAATAGCGAAAGACGCAGAAATTTTCTGGCCGAAGAGTCAGGAGTTAAAGTCTAATGATAATTATATGTTAGTAAATAAATGAAGTCAGTCAGTCAGCTACAACCAGGACCAGGCACATATATTCATCGGTCCAAGTTGTCAGTACTCCTTAGTACACCAAGATAATCAAATTCATAGAGGCAGTTACGTCAGTGATTGCAAAAAATGATTTCATACAACGATATGATACAGGGAGCAAGAATTAGTCGATAGAAGTCAGTCAGCTACAACGTAGGACCAGGCACATATATGCATCGGTCCAAGTTCCCATACCTCATTAACACAACAAGATGGACACTGGATTCGATAGAAAGAAAAGTATAAAGCAACTTTAATTTCACAGTTTAAAGGAGGATAAAGAGTGTATACACGCACGCCATTGTGATCGATTCTGAGCCATGTCACTCAGTCTCTAACCATTGGTTACGATAGTCACGCGGACCCCAACCAAGTAGTCTGCATCTACCAACATGACTTAAGCCAGAAGTTAGTGACTTTATGGATTGATGCCACATTTGGATTGACCGCCCTAACCGTCTCCAGCACTGTACGTAGTGGTAGTCGGTTGTTGGACATACGCAATACGTGGCCCAACCATCTCAGTCGATGAAGATACACAACGTTGTCAACTGATTTACCATCATTCCCTAATACTATGCGTCTAACCTCACTATTACTTACCCGGCGATCCCAGAAGATGCGAGCATTATTTCTACGACATCTGTAATCAAATACTAGTAACTTACGAGTACCCTCTACCTTTAATGGCCACGTTTCGCAACCGTAAAGCCAAAACGAACTGCTGCGCAGTATACTCATCCCTTAATTGATAGACGGATATCTCACCTCCACTATAGGTGACTTAAGTTGGCAAAAGCCAAACGAGCTTTTTGAATCCGTATAGAAATTTGGTCGGACAACAACACATTACAGTTGTTCAAACTTCCAAGATAAGTGGAGTTATCGACGCGTTCGACTGCTTCACTCCCTATCCTTATTTCAGGTGTTAACGCAGGCCAGTCCTGAAGCAACAACTTGCATTTGGAGGGGTAGAAACGCATCCCAAACATTCTGAAAGTTTCTCAATGCTACAAAAAGACTGTATTTTATCAGCATCTTCACCATACAGGACTATATCACCTGCGTACTCCAAGTCAATAAGTGGACCTCTTGGTAGGGGATCAATCCCCGAAAATCCAGTCGACAAGGACGTTATTTCCAGCAGTAAGTTTCTGATGAAAATGAACGAAAATGGAGATAGTGGACAGTTTTGCCGGACACCACTTGAGGTAATTAAGATCCGAAACAAGTTAAATAACAATATTCCGGTAAGATAATGTGCAAATATGGAAGCTAAGAAAGATAAAAACTACACTTGTAATCAAAAGCAGTCGGTTTCAAAATCAATGAAACCATGATAAATTGACAGTAGTGAGAAACTAGGATTTAAATTTCTGTATGTACAAAACCAGGATAAGGAAGAAACAAAAAGTTCAATCTACTTGTATGAATAGTAGTTTATGTATGCAAAACACTAAGTTTATCGTTCAAACAGAAACAAAAAAGCCATCGTCTTTAATATTATATCCTACTACATCGTATCACCTGACCAATTTAGATTGTTTAACTACAAAACACTTTTGAATGAATTTATATTCATACATTCATCTGTTTTCCACAAAGAATTAGAATTATAAACCCTCAGAACAAATCCTTAAACTTCCCTTCATAAATAACAGTTCAGTTCAGAGAAATGAGCATCTACATTAAACACCAAACTATTCACAAACTTGGATGCGCAAAAATCACTTACCGTTGTCCACTCTCTAATGGTATATCAGACAAAACAGTAGCGGCTTCACGAAGGTTTCCCACAGCTTCTAATCGCTTAGAAAGTGAATCACGTAGTTCAACCAACTACAATTATTTTTAAGTTGTAAAATACAAAAACCTACTTGAGATTCAAAAGCAATATTTCTTGACTGCATTCGAGAAAGTAGAATTTGCAATGCACTAATCGCTAAAGAATTATCAGGAACTTGATTCACAAAGTTTATAAGTTCATCACAAAACTTCCTGGCCGCTATAACTGTCACCATATCCTGAGAAACTGTAACCAATAATAGGTAAAATGTTACTACTTGTGTTGACGATTGTAGTTATATCAGCTAGTAAACTATCGGAAGACTGAGGAAGAGATTTGAGCAAGTTTGAAAACCTGCAAGAAAATCAAAATTTTTAGTTTATTTTGCAACAAACTTTTCAGTAGCTTCTTTTGGTGATTTGCAAGTAGTGATTTCAGAAAGAATAGTACTTAGATTCTCCGCCATATTTAAAACAGATCCGTAACCCTGTCACAATAAAGCATCCAAAAAATAACTTTACAGAGAACAATAAGGGTTCAAAAATATTACCAAAATTATCAATAGTGAATAAATAAACGAAAAACAGTGGTCTAGACCACTGTTGTTTAGATAAACACCTGTAAACAATCACTTTAAAAAAGATAACTCAGCCTCCCTAAAAGTAGTCAACGAGAAATGCGTTATTCGTTTTGCGGAAATTTCGGTGGGTTTGTGTCATTTCCCGAAACTTTGGGGAAGACCATTGGATTTTTGGGAAAACTCCAAAATAGGAAAATTGAGATACGTATAAATTCTCAGCTCAACTAGCTTCTAACTAACCGTAACTGCCTAATCAAAGGTAGTGGCTCAGCGAATCAGTTAACAATTTTGAACCAAAGGTCGTTTTTATCTTACCGTATTGCTTATTGCTGATAAATTACTATAATGACAGTCGTGCTAACCGCTTGTTGCGGGAAGGTAGAATACAGCGCCAAAAGGCATATAGTTGTCTAAGGTCTCGGTACACAACGAATGTGAACTGATTTTCCCTTATCTTTAAGTTGTTCAGATAGTAGTTCCTCTTTTAAAACTAGTGGAGCTGTTCACTTACTACAGTTCTAAACTATCACCTTCACTTTTTATCGCTCTCCATATCTTGACATTGTCAGCATACGACAAAACCGATGATGATAGGAGACTAGGAAGGTCATTTACATACAGGAGAAACAACACTGTCTCCCACCCTGCTAAGGACATTTTCCTAGCTAGACAACTTTGAGTTTACCCTTGCTGTTTGTTGACGCCCAACTAGGAAGTTCCTTGTCAGTCTTCAGTTATAAGGATAGGAAGTCTATCGACCCATATTAATCCTTGCAGTATGTAATACTGTGGAGGTCTAACCTCGTTTTGAATGTATTAACAGAAGGTGCTGATATTACGTGTTTCGGTTGTGAATTCCAGTAATTCACTACCCGGCGCGAGGAACAAAACTCCAGACGTAAACAATTTGATCTCGGTTTTTGAACTTTCTTCGAATGTCCTCTCAAATGATCAGTCCTAGACGGAAGTAAAAGATAAGACATGTTAATACCAAGGTCATCGTTCAGTATACGATAAGTCAATAATAGATCACCCCGTATTCTACGGTAGGATAACGGAAATAAGTTAAGGTGTCTCAGTCTGTCTTCATAAGATAGGCCAGATTGACCTTGTACCATCTTAGTAGCTCGTCGTTGGACTCTTTCTAGCATGTCTGCTTCATATTTGAAACAAGGACCCGCTGCTTGAATTCCATGATCCGAATGTGGTCGCACATAAATCGGGTATAGTTATTTAAAAACCTCGTCATCTAAATACTGGAAAGACCTACGAATAGACCATAATACCCTATAGCCTTTTGCAGCAGCAGCCTTACAGTGACTAGTCGTTTTAAGATCATTGCCTAATATAACTCCTAAGTCTTTATAGTTTCTTACTTTGGGTAGCACGAATCCATATATTGTATAGTTATACGATTCATCATAGTTATTTAGGTCATCACTACACTCATTAGGATTTACTTCTAGTGACCATCTTTCCAACCATACCACCAATGAGCTAAGATCATTCTGTAATATTATCCTATCCAACATACTGTGTATAGGTCTCTAAATTTTTATGTCATCGGCGAAGAGTATGAAGATGCCACAGGTATTCAGAGTTTGACAACGCTTTTACCAGTAACGCCAAATATGAAGCGTACCCACCAAGTGAAATCAAAAGACAGAAGCGAGGAAGTTCGAAGATATATTTGATGGACTATCAGTATATCGAGAATCGTCTGGTCTAATCTGGCTAGCGATTGCAGTAGATGTTGAGCACAGTGTTCCCACATGTGATCTGGTGCGGATGCATGACCGAGCGCCTTCAGCTAGGTGAGTCCATTAAAACATGTAGTCAGCATCCAATGTCGAAAACTTACAGAGCTATTTGTTTTGGGGATTTATTTACCGCTACAAGTAGAACGAATGGTTTTGCTACAGTTGGTAATTCATTTACATAAAGTAAAAAGAGAAGAGGACCGAGAACTGTACCTTGGAGAACTCCACTTTCCAAAGGTATCCACGAGGAGAGAGCCCCATTAACCCTTACCCTTTGTCTCCTGTCATGGAGAAAGTTACTTATGCAATCTACGGCTGTATAATGGATTCCAAAACGTTCCAGTTTGACTTTAAGACCAGAACGGGAGACCTTATCGAAGGCCTTACTTAGATCTATGAAGATCACATCCACACGAATATTCCGATCTTTTGCCCCACCCCAATCTTCTCTTGCAGTGAGAAGACTTGTCAAGCATGTTAGGCCTCTCCGAAAATCATGTTGTTCCCTGAAGAAAAGATTACACCCTTCAACATAGTTTATAACAGATATCCGAATGTTTTTTACCATCAGTTTTACAACTGTACTATTTAAGCTAATGGATCTATAGTTACTAACTAAATCCCTACTCCTAGCCTTATACACCGGACTTATTATAGCCTCTTTCCAGTCTCCAGGTAGTCTCATTAGCGAGATGCCACGATCACAATCAATCGTTCCTCATCACTGATAGCGAACACTTTACTGAAATAGTTCGATAAAACTTCAGCTTTTTCGATATCATTTTCTGCCAAGATTAACGGATTTTCTTGTATCAGAAGTGATGGAATTCAATCGCTTCTCTGGGTCCACCTTTTTATACATATATAAACGGGGATGACAAAACAACGTGATTGCTGTTCACCAACGGTGGAAGTATAATTAGGTCGACAATATCCTCAGTCTCATGAGTGATTACCAAGTCCAACCGAGAAGAACCTTGGTTAGCACCAAAACGTGTGGGTTTGGATACGTGCTGCTCTAATGAATGCTCCATTATTGCTATCAGGGACGTCCTATCAAAGAAGTTTATAGATCCTTCCGTGGTCATCTCAGTCCAACTAATATCAGGTGCATTAAAGTCTCCTATTATCAAGCATCTGGTATTTGCATTCCAAAGATGAGTGTGCTCTAAAATAGTCATCAGCTAAGCAGACTGGGCTCCGATAGATGACATCTAGCATAAATGTACTACATCCTATAGCCAACTTACAGCTAATGACTTCACAAGTGCCGCTATCATGGGATTCGCTAGTAGAGGAGCGGATATTTATGCCATTGGCCATATATAACAGGATGCCACCTCCTTTTCTACATCTATGTCTATCACCCCTGAGGTAATGGTATCCTGATAATTCTGGAGTAATGTCTAAGTCATGGACTAACCAAGTTTCTCTAGCTGCTACAATGAGTGGCCTTAATCCGTCCACCAATGCTTCTAGTCCATAGAACTTATTTCGTAAACTACGAGCGTTGGCATATAAAACTCCTAAGTAGAGCGGCCTATCCACACAGGCATTGGTAGCATTCGCTTCCAAGACCTGACTATCCGAAAACCCACTAACTGGGGATTTTCCTCACCGTTTTGTCGATGGATTTCTACCTCAGCTAGTGCTTTCTTCCTTTTTATTCTATCTTCGAGAGACATATCAGGTGTATTTCGGATGTCGAAATTGTCGCGACTAAGAGCATTGCTTGACAGGGGATCCCGTTGCTTATCCGATTCTAGGATTGCCTCAAGGTGTCTGCATGGTCAGGGTTTAATATTGTCCTCGGTCTTCTTGCCTATTCTAACTAGTTTTTGGACCTGAAATCCTTTAGAGTTACTACGAATATATTCTCCCAGCTTCTCAAAATCATGCGCGCGTCTAATTTTGGGATCAGGGTCGTTTGACTCTAGTAACTTGCTTACAATAATATTCGATGGTATTAAATTCTTCTTCTCAATCACGCCAGGGTGGGATTCTCTCTCACTATCAAATTTGGTAGTGCATTTTGTGATTCACAATAGGAGTCTACCAATGACTTGCTGACCACCTGCGGACTGCCTACAGCTTTATTCGTTTCGTCTTGTTTTCTCCGTACTGTAGTCCATTTTTCGTCCCTCAGTACACCGGGACTACTTGGAACGGTGAAGGTTCTATTCAGATCTTCAGTTTCCACTAGAGGTGCATGGTTACCGTTATGACCTTGAATCGCTTTTACCCTGTCGATACTTTGTTATGACTTGACCTTGATCTGTCTAGTCCAGACCTTGGGGCAATAGACTGTGCGGCTTAACCTTGAGACTAATACGCTCGAGTTCGAGAAGGGGTAGAGAGAGATTTACTCTAGAACTTGATTGGTTGGCAAGCACGCAAGTGAGAGAAGACAAGACAGTTGGAACACTCTGAATTCTCTGAATTCGGATTAGTGCAAAAATGTACATGAATAAATAAGTGAATATCCTGACCACAACGTACGATAATTTGGAAAAATACAATTATGCCCGAAACTGGGAATTACGGTAGAAAATAAGATGCAAAATATTATGTTTAAATTACAATATTCTCGGAACAAAAAAGGGTATGGCAGTGAATGATGCATAGAACAAAAGCTCATGTTATGTAGAATAAAATAGGGACAAAAATAAATATGAATGTTTTACAACGTTTTAATGAAATGAAATAACGTCCCAAGAAAATAGCTTTCGTAGTTGTTTGGGCTTCTTATTTCCCCGTTCACAACAGTTACCAATGTCAGTGTCAGGTGGTACTGCCCCCTCGTTAATGTTAACGGAGATTTTTCCGTCAATCAAAGTCTCGTAACAGCAGGTACTATACTGATACATTCCTCACTGTCAGTGCTCATGTTATCGGCGCATACGCCATCGTTCTTTTTCACAGGTCAAAGCCACTAGGCTCATAGCCTCCTGTATTGGTTTTTTTGGAATTTATGCGTAATATGTAACTTCCATCTGCTGCAATTTCTAAGAAGTTTATGAGCTATACAGTTTATATTTCATGATTAATATAGCTTACCTGTAAGAGTTCGTCTTTTAATATATGCCAGTAGGAGATGGCGGCACGGATATCGACACATAATAAATGTGCTGCAATTGCACTCATGAGTATCTACATCCACCTCGTAATGCCGTCCGCAGTCAACCATAAACAACCAGTCACCGGTTTCGTATTCAAGATAAATGAAACGAATTCTTTTAAGTTCATACAGCACTTTCGATCTTGCGAATGGAGTGAGCATGTTCAGCACAGGAAGCAAGCTCTGTGGAGCATTATATTCACAAAATCTCCCGGCTGTTGTTTGATCGCCGATACTTTTCCTAGATGAAGTCATTGCAATCCATTTGAAAGCCTTGTAAATACATTTGTACAGACCATTACTTTTGCGTACAGATCTTTTGATCTGTCGATTAAGTGATTCAACACGATTATTCGTGTTGTTACCCAAAGTTAAAACATTGCCATAAAAAGCACGCGCCCACATTGTTTTACGTGACATCCAAAAGCGTGATAGATACTGGCCTATCACTCTGTCTCTCTGGTTTATTATTCTGAAATATTGATTAAATCTAGTGAATAAATACACTTAAAAAATACCTTCCA